CTTACTTTTTAAATTGTCAACAATGAGTATGTATTATTTAAAACTTCTTTAAAAGTGTGGGGTGTCAGTGGCTCACACCTGTAATCCTAGCTACTTGAGAGGCAGAGATCAGGAATATTGCAGTTTGAGGCCAGCCCAGGCAAATAGTTCTCAAGACCCTATCTCGAAAATACTCAACACAGAAAAAGGGCTGGTGGAGTGGCTTAAGGGTTAGAGCACCTGCCTAGAAAGCATGAGGCTCTGAGTTCAAACCCTAGTATTGCAAAAAAAAAAAAAAAAAAAAAAAAAACCTTAAAAAGCACATTAAACGTGTGAGAGAAGGGAAATGTTAATTTATTTCTAAGCTTTTAAAATATTTCAAATTAGAAAGGAACCTCTTAGATAATCTGATCTAGTGGTTCTCAACCCTAGCAGCTCCAATGTTCCCTTGCTATATTTTGTAATGTACCACTTGCCATCCTGAAATGAACTTCAGAGTTAAATATAACCTACTTATACTTTCAAGAAAAGCAATATGATGTAGTTATCCTTCAGTATCTGTGGGGGATTGGTTCTACTGTCCCCCATCCTCCAAGGATAACAAAATCTGCAGATGCTCAAGTCTCTTATATAAAATGGCATAGTATTTGCCTAGAATCTTATGCATACCTTCCTGTATACTTTAAATCATTTCTAGGCTACTTATAATACCTAATATAACATAAGTCCTATGTGAATAGTTGTCATACTGTATGACAAGAAAAAAATATATTTTTAGTATAGAAGCAATTTTCAAAATATTTTCTACCCAAGTTTAGTTGAATCTGTGGACATGGAATCCACAGATATGGAGGGCTGTTGTACTAACTACATCATAAAGGAAAAATAAAAACAATTTATAATAAGATAGCATGCATTTCAATATACAAATACCTGGAAAAGATTATACTAAAACATATAATAAAGTATGAGATGCTTCTACCTATCTGTAGAATCACTGTTAAATGCAATCACTACAAACACAGACTCATATAGGTAGGTTGTGTTGGCAACTTAAATACCCGTGAATGGTACTGCTGACGTGCATGCTGGAAACTTCTCTGGATCTGATTTTCAAGTCATGAATAATTCATAGTAAAGTTCTGAACAAAATTAAACACCATCTTTCATCAATTTACAGTTGTTACATTCCTGTAAATCCAGTGTGTAATAATATTATAAAATCACTTTGTGCTTATGTGTGAATCAGCCCCAGCTAATTATAACAGCCTTTTCCACCTACATTCACATGTTGTATGGGACATTCAAAAGTTTTACAGATGCAGACTCATACTTCCATTCCCCCTTTATATTAATCCAAAACATGAAATCTACAAAGACTATATTTTTTTTACGTGAGCTGGGCTTGCATCCTTTAAAGATATTCAAAGCTTGAGCCTTCGAGGCTATTTCTAAAACCTATCACCTAAGAACTACAAGAGATTCCTAGAATGTAGTCTCAAAAGTGACACAAGTGTCTTTTGAATTATTGGGAACATTATTCTTCTTTAGTAGCATCAAGGCATGAGAACAAATTATTTTTTAAAAACCATTTACTGTGATCCCATGGTGATTTTCCCTTGCCTGGTTCCAGCCTCAGGAGTATAAAATGAACTGAGCTGGAAGAAAAGGACTAGCAGAGCCAAGGCAGCCATGGGGAGCAATGGGGGGGTAGGTTGCTAGGTTACCACTTGAGCCAATCCAAGTGGTCCCAGAGGGGTATCAGATACAGGACAGGTCCCTCTCTCTGGCCCACTAAGTTGAGGGCCCTCTCAAACGAAGGGGGTCAAAAGGTGGGGGAGGGGGCCCAATCACTCACACTAGGCACAAGTAAAGAAATGAGGCAGAAGCACAAAGGAACAGACAGCCCTGTATTTCTAAAACCATTCAAGTCTCCTTCATTAATTGGCTTCCCCCCAAAAGAAAGATTTCTTTATTAAGAAATACCAGAGAGTGAAAAACCCCAACACATACACATTTGTAGGCTCACACAAAAGTGCAGAGATTTACATATTAAATTGCATTTAAGTTAGAAAATAGATTTAAAAACAAAATACTTTTTCCCCAACAAGGTAAAGAGATTTGGTCAGTAGGAAAAGGAGTCTTAGGGGTAAAGGCAGGATGGTCAGGACAAGAAGAATGGAATTTAGCTGTTACAGTAGAATCCACATCTAATCCAACCCCACTCCTGGGGAAAAATGCAAAGGGGGAGATGATGATCTCAGCTAGGGCCAGGAGGGCCCCAGAGCCAAAAGAACAGAAATTCCACTGGCCCTCAGAGGTTTTGGATCAGAGCCAACCATCCTGGCCTGGAGAAGTGGGGTGGGTGCATAGGAAACATGAGGAATGGGGAGGAAGGGGAGAGTTGGAGAGAGTGTCAGCCATTGAAAAGATCAAACAATATAAACCCCTTTCCCTAGGGAAAGATCGATTATTCGATCTCTCCTCTGATTAGAGCTCAGACTAGGGACAGTCCCAGCTGCTACATAGTATTAATGGGACAGATCTTAAGGCCAATGTCTTAAATACAAAAGATTATATTATAAAGAAAAAGAAAGAGGGGAGGAAGTATGGGGAAGCAGAAACTTAAAAAAAAATCATTTTGCACTACACTAGAGATAAGAGATTTCCATTCTGATCCTTCCCATCAGAAAGAGAAAGCTCTTCTGAGTTGAGCTAAAGGACAGCAAGAGAGTAGCTGAGGTAAGTTGAGGGAGGAGAGAAACACAGCCTGGCCCAGGAGAGGAGATAGGCTGGGACAGGATGGGTTAAGTACTGACTAGAAAGGGGTTCATATGAGTGACAGGTTGACTGAAAAAATAACTTCCAAACTCTCCAGGTTTGGCCTTATTTTGAACTAACTAAAATCTAACTTTGAGAACAAAACTGACAGAGCCAGAAAAAATGAATGGGAAAGGAGAAGAAGATAGGAGAGGAATCTGATTCAATCTCTCTCCCAGGGTTTCTCTCAGAAATGCTAAATTCAAATCCTACTATAAGGAAAACAGGAAGACAAAAAGAAAATCTGGGAGCAGCCAAATTTCACTAATTCCGATTAACTGGGAAGAGTGAGATAGGAGTTGGTAAGGAGTCTTGATTATAGACCATTTGAAAAGAAATATATACCATCACTTGTAGAAGATCACTAATGAAATATTTCCAAGGGGAGGCCCTGGTGAGCCTGTTTAATGACCAAGACTCATTTGCAATTAACAGTGTCCATCTGCTTAAAAACAGTATCTTTCTTAAAAAAGAACTTGTTCTCCTAAGTAAATATAATCTCTCTACCCTCCTGGATCTTGTTCACACTGTATATTGCTTGAAAGTCTTTTTTCATAGTTCAGAATAAGATAAACTTCGGCCCAGAAAATGGTATAGATCAATGGAGAGTATGAATTTGAGAGCTATCTCTCCAACCCAAGGGTACCCTGGAAAATGGAAGTATGGATAGTAATAAGCAACCCCTTCCAAACCCCCCACCCACCCAACACACAAACACATTCACATCCCCACGGTGGTTCTTGAAATGGAAGGGGAAGGAGGAGGCAGGCAGTTTGCATTAGACACAGTTTAATCACCTTCAAATAGATTAAAAGTTCTGGTTTACACCCACCCACCCCAGTCCCCGTAAGTCATCCAGACAGGACCCTGGCTTAGAAAGAGAAAAACACAGGTGCTCTAGGAAATATAGCCACATATAATACATAAATCTTCTTCCCTGAAATAGTGCAGGTCCTCAGCAGAGCTGACTGGGGGCCACAGCCCACCCCCAGGGTGAAATGGCTCTGGGACTCTGCCGGTGGAAGTGCTGGAAGAGTGGGGCTTGGAGGAAGCCCCTGGTGTGGTTACCATTGCCCAAGTTGGGCTGAGGCCTTAGAGTGGGTTACCCGGAAGGGCAGCAGTGCTGGGCTTTCCCTCACTCAGCCGAGGCTTAATGGAAGTACTGGTTAGCTTTTTTGCTTTTTCTTTTTTTTTTTTTTTTGAGGGGACATAGAGGGAGAGGAGAGGAGAGGAGAGCCTCTCTGTGCCTTGATTTCCCCATTTGTGCATTCAGGGCCTCTGCAGGCCTCACACACGGAGTCTGAGGGGGTAGTGTTTAAGTGAGCACTTGGGCTTCCTCTGAGGAAAAGGAACACCAAAGTGCAGACTTTTATTACTGCCATTCCAGCTCCTAATTGGAGCAAGAGTCAAAAGACAAAAAGTAAAATGGGCTAATGAGAAAGGAGGAGAGATGAGACAGAGAGTGTGAGGGGCTATGTTGTTGGCATCTCATCAGTTCTTACTGAGAATAGCGTAAGTATTGAAAAGTTTTTGAAGAATCTACAAAAAATGTAAATTGTTATCTCTACTATGACTACTTACATATATCTAGTGGGAAAAGACTGGAAGTTGGATATTGGAGAGTAGATGGGAGAGAAAAGAGAAGCTACACAAATAAGTACAAGTGGAAGGTATCTGCCCTATTCCTAAAAGGACTGGCTAGCAATGCTGGCACTTTGTGGCCAGTAGAATCCTCTAACCTCACTCTCTAAACCTCATCAATTCTGAAGGAACTAAGAACCCAGTTAGCAGTCCCTAGCCAGAGGTCTCTGTGACTGCCTCAGGACATGCAGCAGCTTAAAAGGACTTGAGGCAGTCTCAAGAATCTTTAGCCCCAGAATGGGACCAATGACCCCAAACAGGAGAGCTGAGATCTGGAGGGAAGAGAGGGGAGTCCAAGGAGACCTTGTGGCTGAGGCCATGGGAAACCAGTGCCAAGTCCCAAGAGACCAATTTGTATAGTTTCCAGAGGTGACTGACATCTTCTGCCACTACCTTGAGTCTAGAAATTTAAAAAAAGCTTGCAGCAATAAAATGCCAGTGTGCAATTGGGTGACTCAAGACCAAAGAAAAACAGAAAAAGGAACAGCTTATTTGTTCTCTGTCTCAGGTTTATCTTCTCCCCTGAAATCTCTCATAGCCCTAATTAAACACAAACAAAAGTCTCTTCCATAGCTAGGCTACTTCTCAGCTTCAACTGCCTCTTGTGGTGGCTCTGGGGGCTCTGGAGGTGGCATCTCTTCCGGAGTGCTGGTGTCCTCCGGCATCTCATTGGCATTCATATGCTCTGTTGGGACCTGAGAAGAAAAAGATGTCAGATTCAACACAAAGTTTTCTCCAAAAATCCAAATGTAGATAATCCACAGACACTGAACTCTTTCTCTGAAGTCCTTGACCACGGCAATGCTAAAAATACACAGCCACTATAGACAAACTCAGACCCAAGACCAGGCTATCATCTTCTCAGCAGAACACCTAAAGCTTATTTGAGTTCTATTCTTAACTGTCCACAATAGTTTGATACTGTAGACAGATGTTTCCACTATTATTCGTCATCATAATAATAAGGATGACAAATAATTAAACACAAACACATCCTTCACACCAGAATGTTATAATGTACTTGTCTAACAAGACCCAACCTAAGGGTTATCAATCCTGTTTCTGCTATAACACAAAACTCACTAAAATAGTGATTTAAATCAAAGAAGGTAGGATGTCAAATTATAGATATGGCTTAAAATGCCCTCTAAGTGATTCTAAAATACCACCCTCCCCCACATTCAACTGAGAATCACTAACATAGATTGTTATGATTTGGTACCAGACTCATCAGAAAATGATATTCAAAATGGTGACAATACTATATAAACATGAACTTCCTGCACTTTAAAAAGAAAATTCAAATTTTAGGTGTGGCAAAGTAGAGAACAAGATTTATCTCATAAAAATATTCACATTAAAGTAGGATCGTATTTTAAAACAAAGGTTAAATTTACTAAAAATCTATTGGAACTAATAAGTTCAGCAAGGTTTCAGGATATAAGATTAATATATAAAAATCAATTATGTTTCTAATACACTCCCAATGAACAATCTAAAAATGAAATTAGGATAGCAATTTCATGTACAATAATGTAAAAAATAAGGTATTTGTGGATAAATGTAACAAAAGTGCAAAACTTTTGTTAAAAAGTTTTCTGAAAAGTACAAAATACTATAGAAAGAAATCAAAGAAGACGACAGTCCATATTTTCTGGTGGTGGCTCTCTTCCTACCTGGCAGACAGCTGCCTTCTCACTATATCCTCATATAGCACAGCAAGAGTAAGAGAATGAGAGAGCAAGCAAGCAAGCAAGAGACAGCACTCTGAAGAGAGAGAACTCTGATGTCTCTTCTCTTCTCTCCTTGTCCTCCTCCTCATTTTTTTTTGCCAGACCAGGGATTCAAAAACCAGCGGCCTGAACATGATAGCAAGTACTCTACAGAAAGTTACATCCCCAGCAGAAGGACAGCCATGCTAATGGCTCAGAAAAACTGTAACTCTTTTCAGGGGATGGCAGGTACATACAAATGATGTATAGATTCAATGCAACATCCCATCAAAAATTCAGCTGCTGGCCTTCTTTGCAGAAATTCAATTAACACTGATCCTAAGGACCAATAAGAGAATTCAAGAGACTTAGAATAGCAAAACAATCATTGGAAAAAGAATAATAAAAATTGAAGAACTCACATTTCCTATTGTTCAAAAACTTTACATATAATGTTAAAGTAACCATGACAGTATGGCACAGGCATAAGAACAGACATATTGATCAAAAGAATAGAATTGAGAGTCCAGAAACAAACTCTCACATTACCATGGTCAATTTATTTTTAACAAGGGTACTAAGATAATCAAGAAGAAAAAATATATAGTCTTTCTCAACAATGTACAGGGGAAAAACTGGATATCCATAGGCAAAAGAATGAATGTAGACCAGTATACAAATATTAAAAATCAACCCAAAATGGATCAAAGACATAAATGTTAAGAACTGAAACACAAAACCTTATTAGAAAACAGAGGTTGGGCTGGCAGGGTGCCTAGCAAGCATGAGGGCCCTGAGTTCAAAAACCCAGTGCTGCCAAAAAAAAGAAAAAGAAAACAGAGGAGTAAATCTTCATGATCCTGGATTAGAACAGTTTAGATAGATAGGACATCAAAAGCACAAGCAACAAAAGAAAAAATGACAAATTGGAGTATGTTAAAAAATTAGGGCTAAGAATGTTGTCGTGGAGAACACTGCCTAAAATGCACAAGGCCCTAGGTTTGATTCCCCAGCACACCAAAAAAATTTTCAAGGGATACCCCAAGAAAGTGAAAAAGACAAATCCACGGAATGGGGAAAAGGATTTGGAAAATTCATATATCTGGTAAGGGACTTGTATACAAACGTACAAAAGAACGTCTTTACAATCAAAAAATAAAAAACATAATTCAATTTAAGACATGGACAAAGGATCTGAATAGACATTTCTCTGAAGAAATATACATATGCCCAAATACGTTACATGGAAAGATGCACGACATTATTAGTCATATTGAGATACACAGAAAAATCCTGATGAAGATACCACTTCACGACCCACTAAGATGGCTAAAAATCAATCAGATAAACCACCATATACTGCTAGGTGGGACAAGAAACTATGGAAAACAATCCAGCAGCTCCTCAAAGTATCTTATCCTTTTGTTTACATAGAGTTATCATATGACCCAGCAATTTCACTCTCAGGTATTATAGCCAAGAGAAATAAGTATATGCCATGCAAAACTTGTACACAATATTCATAGCAGCATTTTACTATAACCCAAAGGTAGAATAGCGCCAATATGTTCATCAACTGGTGAGTAAATAAATAAAATATGTATAGCCACATCATGGGATATTATTGCGCTACATAAAGAATGATAATGCTACGTGCTACTAAACCATATTAAACCTTTAAAAAATTATGCCCAAGGATCGGGATGTAGCACAGTTAACTCAGTGGTGTACAGACCTGCCCTAGCATGCACAAGGTATAACATATAACCATATGGCATTACACTTAAATGTATTACTCATATATATTAGTTCATTATAACTAATATATTATGACTAAGTGAAAGAAACTAGTCATAAAATAGCACATATTGTATGATTCCATTTATGGCGAAGCATATAGAAAGTGAAAAAGACAGTGAAAGTAGATTCATCGCTGTATAGGGATGGGGCTTAAAGTGTTTCTTGAGGGGGAAGATAAATGAAATGCTTTTAAGTTAATTTGTTAATCGATACAACTTTGTGAATAAACTATATCCAAAGAATTATGCATTTTAAATAGGACTGTGTAGAATGTGAATTATAGCTCAATAAACTCTTTAAAAAGAAGTTTCAAAAATATTTTAGGATTATAATTTTATAAAAGTATATCTTTGAGCAGGATACCTGGGAGTTTCCAGGGAGTATCTGCATACTCCAGCAAAGCCCCTTCTACCCAATGTAATCACACGAGAAATTCCAACATGTCCTCTCTGACTTCCTCTTTACTTCTATAACTTATGCTTCCCTTATTCAGGCAGTTACTTCAACACTGAGCAATGGCCTGTTTTCTTGCCCCTAATCCCCACCACACAGTGAGCAACTTGAGGGCATTCGTCTTGTTCACTGGTGTATCCCCAGCATCTAGCACAATGGCTGGCACAAAAGTAGCTACTCAAAGAAATGAATAAATCTTAATGTACTCAAGGTCACAAAGAGCTGAAGGCAATGTCAGGCCAGATGCAGAGACAGGGGAAGCTGAGAGTGATAAGGATACGAATCACCTATTATATTTCTATCTGCTGTTAAAGGTAGCTACACACTATCACCAACTCAAACCAAAAGTTAAGAATACTTACTGGGCTCTGTGGCAAGAGACTGCTACTAGTCTCTTGAGTACTAGGAGGTCGACTTCCACTTTCCTCCAGTGGCAAAAATACCCTTCGATCCAGCACACTGAAGAAGCAGGAGAGTTATCAAGGAATTAGCACTGGCTTTCACCCCTACATCCGCCCAGCCCATCCGAACCTTGCCGTTTGTACATTGGAAACATAAACATGTCCTTGCAATCTAGCCTGATCTTTTAGCATACATCTCCTATCTTCCATTCACTTTTTTCTTCCACAAAACCAGTGAAGTTCACATTAGCCAGGGAACAAACGATGAAATAAAAAACCAGCCCATGGTCTATGGTCCATGTAGGCAAGGTACCATGCAAAATCCCTAGGAAACCTTTATTTGACACTAACAAGCCCCACTCAGAAGAACACCTCAGACCAGGTAAACAGAGATGGCGTTGCATTGTTCATCTAAGAGTCTCAGTTTATAATTTCTTGAGTACCTGGGGGGCAAGGACCACACAGCACTTCACAGCAGTTCTTCACAATATTGCATGGCTATGGGATTCTGGAACACGATTCCTTCCCTGTCCATGATCCTTTCGATCTGCAAGATG